TGGCTCTCTCTGTGGCTCTCTCTGCTCTGTTCCCCTACAACATGGAGCCCCAGACCCCCATCCAAGAGGCCTCTGTCCCTCTTCACTGACGCCCTCTCTTGAGCATCTCTCCTCTCATCCTCAGTGTTCATGGTGAGGAAGCGAAGCACCACCAAGTTCAGGAAGGCCCCGATAACAGTTAGCCCTACCAGGATGTACATGAAGCTGAACGCCACGTAGGGCGATTTTTCTTGTAGGTCCTCCTTTTTCTGCAGGGCCACAAAGTCCCCAAAGCCAATAGTGGTGAGTGTGATGAAGCAGTAGTAGTAAGCATGGAAGAAGCTCCATCCCTCGAAGTGGGAGAAGGCTGCAGCCCCAACACACAGGGTTCCGATGCAGGACAGGAAGCCCACCAGGACCATGTTTTCCATGGACACTTCGGTGCGTCGACAGCCCAAACACTGCTTTGTCTTATGCAGGAGATAGCGGACAAACGTGTTCATCCTTTCACCCAGGCTCTGGAACATGACCAAAGTCAGGGGAATGCCCAGTACTGCATAGAACATGCAGAAGACCTTTCCTGCATCTGTGCCTGGTGCTGCATGTCCATAACCTTAATGCAGAGAGGTGAAAATGAGAGGAGCACTGTGACGCACACTGTAGCAACGTTTGGGTAGTAAAACAAACTGTCTGTTTTTAATGAGTCTGTAATGTTTTAATGAGCCTTAAATGTTGCATTCTTCAATGCTCCACTGTAAATATTATAGCAACAGAGTAAAACACCATCTCTCACCTCCAGAGATACAAGCATTACATTAACTTACCAATGGTGGTGATGACTGTTATGGCAAAGTAAAAAGAGCCAGCAAATTTCCACTGTCTCCCGGCGCGATGGGGCTCAGCTTGCAGCACCACTCGCTCGATTTCGCGGTAGTCGTCCTCGGAGAAGCGGTACTTCTTCTTCATCTCGTTGCGCTTCTGCTCCAGGATGCGTCTGCGGGAGCTCTCCGACTCGGACTCCAGCGCGTCAAACACCGCGGCGCCGACCAGCAAGTAGGAGAACATGCAGAGGATGAGCGACAGGGTCCGGACGTTTTGCTTCTTCATCCTCGGTGTCGGCATGAAAGTCGGGAGCAGATTAGGCACAGTTACAGGTGGTACTGATCTTCAGACTAGACTCCACATTGGTGTTGCAGCCTGTTGCGTGAAACGTAGTACGCGGGAGAGGCGTGTAGGACAATCAAACCTGGAAATCAATGTTACCAGGTTCAGACTTCTTATTTATGTAAAAACACGCATATCCTGCTGTGCACATTGAGAGCGATCGATGCTCTCGACACGGTCATCTGTTTAAGCGAAGTGGCCTCAGCTTGCCTCTTCGCATGCGCACACCAGTCACCAATAAAAAGCTGTGTGTAATATGATATATGTTTAAGACACATAGTAAGCACCAATGTTCGGTCTTATCACAGCTGTGTGCAACAAGTGAGGTCCTCACTCGACCCGGCAGATACCAATCTAACATGAGGGAGGGGGGGTTCAGCACCATGGACAGCGGCCAGGGGGATTTCATATTTGAACTGGCCTTAAAAACTGCGCCGCCGAGGTTGAGACATCCAGAGGGAGTGAAAACACAGCATTACAAAGCTATCCTTAACTCTGTAAGTTCTTAGGTCTGTGACTCAGGTAACATGTTGACAGCGAAAGTGTGTTCATTTGCACAAGAAACGAAACACTAAAACATAAATAGGAGATATAAAAGCCTTGTGCTAAAAATAACCCAAACTGGCCTATGAAGGAATTTCTAAAAAATAAAATAAAAACAATAAAAATCTTATTTTGATGACAATACGTTTTTGGAGATCTCACATACATTTCTCAATCATCTTATTATTTTAAATAATAATAAAATAATAATCAGGTTATCAAGTGGAAAATCAAGAATATAGTGAAAGATTTAAACCAAACAGGAAGAAAAAAATGAGGAAAAAAGACTAATAACATGAGCCTACCAAAATACAACCCCAGTATACGTATGGGTCTTTAGAAGTGATTTAAAAATATATATATGGATTTTGTTTCCTCTGGAAACAGTTAAGATGCCCTGCCAGCAAAACAGTGTGTGTGTGTGTG